GCTGTTGCATGCCTTAGCTCTCCATGGCTCATATATGTCCTGACGAGTCCTGGTATATGCATGCAAGCACTACATGTTTTCTGAGCTTCTAGCGGGTAGTTTTTGTGACAGACGCGCCGCCTTGGTCGGCGGTCCAGAAGACCAAAGCTCCCATTCTGATCTCCATTTCCCATCGCATGAACCACGCTACCGTCAGCGCCTGCACCACTATGCGCAACCCTTCCACTTGACCCAGAAAAAGTGGTACCTCGGAAGCAAGCTAAGTGAAGTGCCTACCTTGCCTAGGCACCTACCTAGGGTGGTACCTACGTAGGCATGGAGGACCAAACTGACTGACTGCACAATTCCACTATCACCTGCACGAAACGGGAGGACACGATCAAGACTTGGTATGTACACCATCTTTCCAGACATTGAAGCAAATCGCTGTGAAGGCAAGTCTTGTCACAAGTACTGCACTGTATTATGGCTTCGAACCGATAGCCACTCAATCCACTGGGCTTCTAGGTAGGTAGCTGGGCAGGGTACCTGACCACTGTCACTAACCTAAAAATGAAGGCTGCCGCAACCAAAGGCCAGAACGTGGGAAGAGTGAAGGCCAGAAACTGCGCGCTAGATCAATGCGTTTGACTCTTTACCTGCCGTGTGTCCAGTCGGTTGCACAAAAGGAAATTTCTGAAATTTCATCGTCCTGCCCTTCACTGGGCTCCAGCGAGTGTGTGTGTGTGTGAGAGAGAGAGAGAGAGCGAGCGCGGGTTTCTTCAAATACAGGTTGGTAGGTAAGTAGGTACCTGCTCCCGGGCCCCCCTCCAAGCAAGCCCAGCCAACAAAAGCTCTTGTCATCCAACAGGTTCAGCACCAGGGTCGGGCGCCCACACTTGATAGCACCACGCCCATTCCCCGCCCACCGACTGGGGCACTGACGAAACAGCACACGGTGCGGAGAGCCGCCGGATTGACCCCAAGGTCCCTTCCCCCCCCCACCTCCCCTCCATCCCCCCTTCCCTCTAGGCTCTAGCTCGCCATCATCCAATCCCATTCCCACCAGTGAGTGAATTGGCCAGAAAGGCACCAAGGACTGACTGTCTTCCGGGCAACGAGACGTTAGAATTCATCGGTTTGACCAAGGTACTTTTTTCTTCTCCCCCCTTTCCTCTCTCTCGTTCTCTCTCCATCTTCATCTCCATCTCCCAAAATATCTTAATGGAGTTCTTTGCTACCCAGTCATCTCCCAAACAGCCCCGGCCAAGCGACACCCCTACCCATTCTTTCTTCTCGTCTCACACAGAAAAGCGAAGTGAAGCAAGCCAGG